TATTGCCAAACCATCTGTCCAAAAAAAACTGTCTTTTTTTTGTTTTTTTTTATTAAAATAATCTCCTAAAAATTCGCTATTAAACCTCTTTTTTTTTTTTTTTTTTTTTTTTTTGTTGTTGTTCTCAAGTCTGTTTAATATTTAATTATCTTTTAGATTAAAACAATAGCTGATAATTAAAAGTGGTGTAACAATCATTAAAATTTAGAGGTGATAAAATGATTTCAACATCAACATCAGCATTTATCCATGTTTTAATTGTAAGTAACTAAGAATAATCTTTTATTTTACTAAACACATATATAACTAACAAATTATTCACAACTACAAAATGAGTTCATTTATCATGCAAAAACATCTACTATTAAAATCAACGTACGATATTTTTCATGATTTTATATAAAGCGAGAAACAGATAATTCTGTTTAATATCTCATTTAATATATTTCAATCTGGTCGTTTACAAATCTGATTGGTGTTCCATCTTCTTTTTTTTTCTTTTTTAAAATTTTTGTTTATCTATTCAATTTAGAAGAAAATAAATTAAGAGATAAGAACAGCATCGTGGCAAAGAAAACAAAAAGAAATCGTCACGGAAAATATGTATATGAACAGAGTCTAAGTATAATTTCATGTTAAAGTATTCATACTTATTCAAAAAACAGAGCAGTTGATTTTGATGTTTTCATTCGTTTTGTGACACACGAAACGTTGCCTTATTTGGCTTATTATCTCTTTTAAAATGAGTTTAAATTTTTCAAGTAACAAAAAAACAACAACATAGTACAAATTTTTCTAATATAAATACGCGTTATTCATTTTTTTAATCAAATTTTTTTAAATTTGATTAATTTTTTGTCTTTTTTTCTAATTTCCTATTGAGCCATACATGATATACATGTAGTAGAAAATCATCTTTTTCAACTCAATGAATTGTGTAAAATTACTTTGAGTTTTTTCTTTTACTATAAAAAAAAAAACCACTAGTCATGTTTACCAGGTTCAATAGCTAATGATTTGCGATAAATTCAGTAGATGGATAGTCATGCAAAACACTTTTTTCTATTGAATGTTACACTCTTTTGTAGAAAAAAATTTTGCTGTTCTCAAGAGAGTGACAGTACATTATACATAAAGGTTTTGTTCCTCTACTGATTGAATAACAAAAAAAAAAAGAAGATCACCTCTGTTTTTCATTTGATATAAACGAGTGTTTAACTAAGTTGAAACAATCTAATCTGAATAACACAACAGCTATTGAAATAATCTTATATTTTTAACATTTAATTTAAGTATTTTGAATGACAAAAATATTTATTTTTATTTTAGTCTAATTCGATTAAATTTTTCGGATATGAATTTAAAATATCACGTAAAAATACCATTCTTTCAATTCTGGTTAATAAATTTTTAAGAAAAATCAGGTAAAAGATCTCGGTTATAAAAATGAAGTTTTTTTTTTATGGCAAAATCATCGATGAGATCACGAGAAAAAATGTAATTTAACTTAAGTTAAGATAAACATGCTTTAGATCTCGCAATACTTTTGAGTGTATAAACTATCTTTATTTTCCTTCTAATTTATACTAGTTTTTCCACTAAATGTTCAGCTTTATCTATTTAACAAAAAGAAAATGAAAATAGACAGAGAAACGCTCGAACTTGTGTGATGAGATATTATCATTAGTATCAATTGGAGAAATGTGTGTGCTAATATAAAGACGAACGATGTGATATGTTTTCTTGATGACGGTATTATACAACACGTACATTTCTAATTAGTAAATATGTTGATATTCTTTTCAAACTCTAAATATACTTCGACTAACTAGATCGCTACATCATTGTACGATATGTACAATTTTCAAGATCTAAACCATATTTTTTGGTCATACAGATGAATCAAGATATATTACATGCGCTTTTCCCATGATCTTTTACATGCTTTTGACATAAAAAGATTTAATTTTCGTAACCAAGATCTTTTACATGTTTTTGTTTCGCAATTTTGTCAACCGGGATCAAAAGCATGTTACTTCCGTGATCATTTCTCATTTTGCCTAAATTTTAAACAAAAAAACAAAAAGATTGAAATACAAGTTACAAAACAAAAACAAATGATCAGATCGTAAACTCAACTAAAGATGTAAGAAAAAAACCGGAGAAATTGAGTGATGAACAAACACGTGAGAACTAGAACGATAGTTTAAAATATTATGTTGAATATTTTACTGCATTATGTTTATATTTTCCTTTTCAGATTGTCAGAGTCATAACGGGTGGCCCAGATTAAATTGCCGGACTTTCAAAGACTTCGTTTTGATGCCAAAAGATTGACAATTTTGTCTAAATTTATTCATATCCTGTTTTAAAATTAAGTATACATCGTTCTCTTGTGACAGTAAAAGTACTGGAAACTCCAGAACTCTAGTCAAAATCCTAGACAATCCTACCAGGATCTTCATAGGATCCTAATTGAATCCGGGCGACTGAAAAGTTCTAGGATTTGATAGAATTTATCTAGGATTTTATTAGGAGTCTATTACTCTGGAGGAATAGACTCCTAATAAAATCCTAGATAAATTCTATCAAATCCTAGAACTTTTCAGTCACCCGGATTCAATTAGGATCCTATGAAGATTCTAGTAGGATTGTCTAGGATTTTGACTAGGAAAATCTCAAGTGCGCACCACTTCACTAGAAAAGAAATGTGTTTTATCTTCTAAAGAAGTTTTGTACGTGCCATTCAAACATAGTACGAAAAACTACAATAAATGCTTAATTTTTTACACACGAAACCAAATTTTTAAAATGATGTACGGGACCGTAAAAACGGGTTACAATAATTGTCTCATTACGTGTATTTGACACTATTCACTCTAAAGGAAGATGTCTCAACTCTATCATCTATTACCAAAATGGTGCAATCCATAGAGAGATTTGAAATTCTGCATCTTTTGATATTAAAACGATCATTTATATAGGTTAAGGTTTTGAGAAAAAGTCTAAAATAACTAACCACGTCATTGGACGAATACGTCTTTTAATGTTTTGCATTTTACCAAAACAGAAACAAATACGAGTATGGGAAAGAATATACTAGTAGATACAACGAAAGGTTCTGCGCTTTTCATAACTAAAATGAAGTTTTGGAACCAGACTTAACTGGACAAAAACTAATTTACAACGTACCTCAGCAACGAAGCTTTTTGTGGCTTCCAATCTTTTTACTATCACAAGAGAACGATATATACTTAATTTTAAAACGAGATATGAATGAAATCTAGACAAAATTCCCTATCATTCGGCATCAAAACGAAATTTTTTTATTAAGTTTAACTTAAGAAAAAAAGTCTTTGAAAGATCGTCAGTTTAATTTGGACTACCCGCTATTCTCTATTCAAGATTGATTAATGACGTCATCGAGTAATTGAGTTGCCAAAAAAATCGTCACTTGAACTTTTTCATATCGATCAAAACAATTTCTCATTGGTTTCATATTATTTTTTTCAACAACATTTATTCATAATTAAATTTTGTTTTTTGTTTTTCTTTTTTTTTGAACTAAAATCGGGCATTTATTTTTTTAACCATCAATCTATGAAATCATATTTCTGTTAAGTACGTTATGTACGTATGTCGCTATTTTTGCTGTAGAAAAATATTTCGATCGAATGTTGAGAATGAATGAACATACGATGTCGTTTTCTAAAAATAACGAGGAAAAAAAACTCGCTGTTTTATTAATTCATGTGAAAATTAACATGCATTTTCCCATCAAACAGAGCGATTGAGCAGAATTAAATATAATCACTAAAAATATTTGATGTGTCATTCCAGTGGATTAGTTTTCAACAATCGAAGAAATTGAAAATATTACAATGGTCAAATAGAGATTAACTTAATTAACTAAAGAAAAAAAACAAACAAACAGATAAGTATGAAGAAGCATGGCGCTATTACATTCGAGATATATTATCTCTCCATGAAAATTCAGCTTTATTCTATTTTCTTTTTTTTTATACTCGAAAAATGTTGAGCATTCTGTTAAAAGAAATGGATGATGAATGACATATTTTTTCAAGCACATACCTTTTAATCGATACGTTGTCAAGAATTTTATAGGCAGGTATTAGAAAAGATTATATTTGTACTAAACACATTTGATTGAAAAAAATATTCACACTATTTTAGACATCATTCAGACATCATATGCTAAAGTGACAGTAATTGTAAAATTTCATGGAAAAAAAATATGAGTTATTTGAAAAAGTTTGATATTGAAGTACAATGTGAAAGAGAAAAATACTAGTAAAATAATTAGAATATCTATAAATTTATTCATTTATAACTCTTTTAATAGTTAAAAATATAAAGATTAAAAAAATCTGTTTGTTAAATTATCTCAATCTTCTGTTATTATTCGTTTATATATTTTGTCTTTACAGAACATAAAACAAGTGTGAAAAATGCAGACGATAGAAAGAAGAAAAAGTAATAAAAAACAGACTATCTCTTTTTCTTCTTGTACATTTTTTTCTTTTTGTTTGTCGATTTTCTGTGTAATTAATTCATCATTCTTAGTAGATAGTTTTTCTTTGATTTTTCGATCGTCAATTAGAATTATTTTTCATTTATTGAAAAAAAAAAATTCATTCAACAACGAACAAGAAAGATCTGATTGTTAGTGTTTATTATTTTTCAGTGAAGAAAAAATAAAAACAAATGAGATAAATCAAAGTAAGTCTTTATTTCTCTTATAGGTATCGATGATACAAAAGCAAAAATAGAATTAGCTCTTTTCTTTTTATATACATTTGCATCAATTTTTAGTTGTGTTTTTGAATAGAACAAATAACTGTTTCAAAATGTAAAATTTTACATACTGAAAAAAAAGGTGATTTAGAATCAAATTAAGTCACATTAATGTACCTTATTCTGTGAAAATAAGACACATTAACGCGACTTAATTTGATCCTGAGTCGCATTTTGCTTTTTTAGAGTGTAGATGAAAAAAAATAGAGGGAAGATGGAATGATTTTTTTTGGACATAAATTAGTTATATTTTATCATAAGTAATACTCATTTTTAGTAGACAGAAAAGTAAAAATTAATAATTTTGTTTATTAAAAGCAAAAAATTTAGTTAGAATAATTAACATCGGAAATAGTAAGTTTACCAACATTCTCGATATTTGTTTTTTTTGTTGACCTTTACGAAAAGTTGCTCTATTCTTTCCTACATTTATATAACATATCAGATAAACTAATTAATCATCTAACATTTTTTTTATGTCTAAAAAATCATTAGAATGACGAGTCAATTGTAGTGATATTTGTTAAGATAACTAACTAACTAACTAACTTATATTTAAGATTTAGAAGTGCGTAAATTGAAATATGTAAGAATTTCCGTAAGTTAAATGGACATGTTTTTCCCTTTGACATTTGTTAATTCTCAGATATTTTATTGATGTTAAGTTAAGGCGAGAGGAGAGAATCAACACTTGAATGACTGTATCTATTAGGATAAAAAACAAAACAAAACAAAAAAAATGCATTATATACAGGATATAAATAACAAAATATCGAATAATAACAAATTAATAATATATTCATCAAGATAATATTTTTCATTTACCGTCGACTATATTATTCCTATATGAACATATGTAAGTAAAGATTTATTCAGTAAAATATTTTTTCTTTCGAATAGAATATAGACTGAAAGGTGTGTCTTCGTCAAGTATAATAAATTTATCAACTAAATCGAACATTCATTTTACTTTCTTATTTTCTTTACATGATTTTCTAAATTAATTTTCATTATCAATTTTTATATATTGTTCAATAAATCGAATCGTACAAATCGACAGACGATTCTTTACGATCAATATAAAATGAACAAAAACAGTAAGAGAAAAAAAATAGATAAAAAAAAAAGAAAAATAATGATAAATCAACAGAAAACAATGAAATTGTCTCTTATTTTCTTATTCTAAATTGACTAAGGATAAATGCATTATCCATGTGTCGTTGTTGTTCTATTGTCCTCCTATTTATACTTACATATTTAAGTTGTGTTAATCGCTTTTTTTTTTTTATTTCTTCTTCTTGTTCTTCTTAAGGAAACTAATTATACGACATGGTTTATTACACAAACAAATAAAGCAACCACTACAGGAACAACATTAAATAGTCAAGTATTTTCCAGTGTACAACAATCAACACCAAACATTATGTGGTTTAGATTTTTACTTATTATTGGTAAGAATAACTTAAATTTTATCTAGGTTAATGATATTCGATCAAAAACGGAAGAAATAATATTGTACTTATTAGTGATAAGTTTGTTCATTATCCAAAGTACGACATACTTCTATTACATGAATTCATGAGTTAGATCAATCTTAGTTGAAGAAAAACAAGAAAAAAACAAAATTTATGAAATAAACTTTGTTTTTAATTTCAGAAATATTACATACTGTAGTGTCAATAGTATAGATTCTAGACTATTATATAAATTATATGATATTTATTTTTGTTCAAAGATCAGTTCATCAGAGTCATCACTTTCACACGATACTCAGCAATAATATATTACAAAAAAAAAGCGAAAATATCGTCTTTATGAGTGACAGAAGTTTATGATGTGTCTAACAAATATACTTCTGTATTAATTATGATAAAAAAATAACGCAAGATTAACCAATTTCACATTGTTATACACACAAAAAAACTAACAACAACACATTTTTTTTCTCTAATCATTGATTATTTATCTTTGATTTAATTGTTATCTAACTGAATGTTGAATAAATTCATTCATAGTTCATTTAACAAAATAAAGACAACAAAGGATTTTAGGTTTTGTTTTTTGTTTTGATCAAAGTTTCATTCATTTATTATTTTCATTGCAGTTATATTTGTAACAGCCGCCGGAAATATACTTGTTTGTTTGGCTATTACAAGAGAACGAAAATTACAAAATACAACAAATTATTTTTTAATGTCACTTGCTATTGCCGATTGTATGGTTGCCCTTCTAGTTATGCCAATGGGAATGGTTGCTGAAGCATTCGGTAAATTATTAAATTTAATTTTTAAATAAATTAATCTACTTTTTTTCTTTTTCAAATCATTTATATGATTTAATTTATTCTTTCTTTTTTTTACTATTGAATTAACTCAAAACTTTGTAGATTACTGATGCAGTGTTTAATAAGTATTAGAAGTATTTTAAGAAATTATTATTTTGGTACAAGCACATAAAATAAATATCTTCAGTTGAAGAGCTATCAACATCATCATCATCATCATCATCATACTGTCTCTTTCTTATTTAAGGTTATTTTCCTTTACCACATTATTGTTGTGTTATATTTGCCACTGCTGATGTATTATGTTGTACATCATCAATATGGCATATGTCAACAATGTCAATGGATCGTTATTTTACCATACGTTTTCCATTTCGATATGGTCGTAATAAAACAAAACGTATTATGTTATTGAAGATTATTGCTGTTTGGGCTATTTCATTAGCCGTATCGTCACCCGTATTCGTTTTAGGCATTGTTGATCGTCGTAATGTACTTATTAATGGTATATGTGCACCAAATAATGCTACTTTTAAAGCTGTCGGTGGCGTATTTGCATTTTATATTCCATTTATTATTATGATTGTTACTTATGCGCTTACAATGCGTTCATTAAGAGATGTATTAGTTCATAAACGTCGCTATAATAGAGAACGTCGTCGTGATCAAACATTTCGCCCTTTAGCCACAATTATAAATCAATATGCTGAAATAGCGCATGGACTGCGTCAAACAGGCACAACAATGACAACAACAACAAAGACAGTTGTTAAAAAAACTCCATATACAGTAATTACCACTACAACAGCTTCTCCAATTGATAAAAATCATCCATTTTTCTTCTCATCAAATGGGACATTATTGATGGATCATAATCAAAAACATGATATATCTCAGTACGGTTCATTTACAACAGCCAATGGTCAAGTATTAAATATATCTCCAACAGGTATAAATTCATTAGATCAAGAAGCAAATCATTTGATGATTTCTTATATTAAACAACATCATTCCAAGAAAAAACAATATGATGTTATGTATAGGAAAGATTGTGATATGAGCACCGTTTACGAGATGACAGAATTTTCAAAGTCATCATCAGGTAGTGATTATAGAGTTGCATCTTCATGTCTTCATCAACGTCGATCAGTGGTCATTGTCGATCAAACATCAGCTCATGTATGTGAACAACAACCATATGGTGAAGTAAAAAATAAGGAAGGACAGCAACAACAACAACAATTAGAATTGAGTACAAATCAATTGAAAGAAGTTATTATTATAGAAAATCAAATTCCATCAGTAGAAGAAGAAATATATGGTAAATACATTTTCTTGTTTACTCTTATAATCTGTTAAAGTAATATATCTTGATTCTTACGGTTTTTCTATAAGACAAAGTAACCCTTCCCAGAACAACTGTCTCTACGAGCATTCAGTATCTGTAATAAAAGTAGAATAAAAAGTAACCAACTTATGGTCCTGTCGTGACTATGTATAAGAAAATAACCATAGTAAATTGAGACAACAGTCATTCTTTCGCAATAAACAAAAGATAGTGTAGTGTTAGGAATATGAAATTTAAAAGGCGAATGGCATGCTAATCATTGATCTATATTGATACCATGGACTTGAGAATATTTTTTATTTTTTTCTAAGATGAACTACCACCTGATCCTGATACTAACATTAATGAAACATCACAATCATCAGAAAATATTCATGTAGCTAATAATTCTGTTTGTTTAACAACAACATCAATATCCATTGAGAATTGTGCTGCGTTCATTATGCGTTTGATCGAACTTTTTTATCGATATTATTACGTGAACAATCGCTATCAGTTTTCTCAACAGCAACTAAACTATAGAAACGTTTTACCAATCGAATACTTTTCGCACAATAAATATATTACCGAAACTAGCCCAACGTTATCATTGTCAGATACAACTTTAAAACATAATAATCCATCTTCAAATATTTATCAAAATAAAATACAAATTGATGCTACATATGTTAATAATCAGACTACTTGTACGTCGCTTTCGGTACCGATAGTGCTATCAGAAATGCAGACTAGTCAAACATTGTCAACAAATAATTATATACTCAATAATGAAAGATTAGATGATGATAAACATCATCAGTCAACATCAATGTCATATTTAGTCGGAAATAAGCAGACAATGTCCGTCTCCACACAAACAGATCATTCATACATTCCAAAATCATTGAGTAGTTTTAGTGATAAGCCATGCAACCAACAGCAAAACAATGATCTATCGAATAGAACAAAAGGAACATTTTCATTTTCAAAACATTTTCTTTGCACATCATTCCCTCACACAACATCGACTCGTTCAGAATCAGAAGATGAACGTATTTCTACAAATCTTCATTCAGGTTCATTATTTACAAATTTTTTTAAATACCATAAATCAAAACGATCGTCGAGTAATACGGGTACAGGATCTGGTGCGGGTAATAGTTCAACAAAATCATCCTTATCATGGGGACAGCATTCATCATCGTCATACCATCAACAAAAATCAGCAACTGTACCTCATCATCATTCATCATTATTAAAACAAATCGAATGTGAAATGGATTCTGTATTAGCACAGCAACGCTCACGTGGATCATCTGCATCGAGTCTATTCTTTAATAATAAACTTCATCGTAACAGAAAACGAAGAAGAAAACGAAGACCATTTGTTCTATCTAATAGTCATAATAGTCCCGGTGGGAATAGTCTTAGACAACAACAAATTTATTCCAGTTCTACTTCATCATCCACGTACAATAGTGAAACATCCACTTCTCGTATATCTCGTTTTCTCTCATCTCAACGTCAACAACAACAACATCATTTACAACAACAACAACATCATTTGCAGCAACAACAACAACAAGAAAAAATTGTCGCACAAAATGAACGAAAAGCATTACGTGTATTATTAATTATATTTTGTGTTTTTGTTACATTATGGACACCATTTTTTATTTGTACATTTATATCGGCTGTATGTGATAAATGTCGAGAAAAAATACCATCAATAATGTGGTTTTGGATAACGTGGCTTGGTTATACATCATCGATGGCTAATCCTCTTGTTTATACAATATTTAGTGATGCATTTCGAAGAGCATTCACTAATCTATTATGTTGTCGATCAAGTGATTCAATGTTTGCACATCAATTATCGACAAAATCATCCTATCCAAAAGGTGCAATATTTCTTCGACATAATGGAACTGCTGGTTGTTCAGGTACATCAACACCGATAGGAAGAGAACGAGAACAAAATAATAATCAAGAAGCAATAGTCTATGTGAATAAATACAATCTTGAGGCAATAAGATAATAATTTCCTGTTATTTTTCCTACAGCAAACACAATTTTTTTGTTTTTCCTATTTGTTTAGATAATTAAAAAAAAAGCACCAATCAAAAAACGTTGTTATGAGAGGTTCAATCGAATAATTTTTGTTTAGAATAATCCATAAACTAGTAAGATATTTAATTATTTTCTTTTAAACAGAAAAATTCAAAACATTCCACTCAACAACTTTAGTATAAACACAGTACTAAAATAATCTTTGCATTCTAAAATTTATTTAAGACTACTTTTTGATGAAAATATTTTTTTATTACACTTTCGTATTACATACAAAGATGTCTTAATCACATTGATCATTTCGTTTATTATCTACATATAAATAGTAACTTGTTCTTAAAGATGACTAGAAAGATTTCTTGAATGAACAATAATATTATGAGTTAAAATTTCTAGATGAGAAGGACAATTTTTTATCATATAATAAATTATATATTTTTTTCTTTAACACATGTATATAATAGTTCTAATTACATACCCTAATTCTTGTAATGTTTCAACTAATTGTTGTTTTTGCTCTGGTAACATTCTGGCAAATATTGTTCCACGTACTACTAACTATAAAAAAATATAAAAGTCAATTTTCTAATATTTTTAATTGTTTTATTAAATATTACGATAAATATGTACCCGTTCATATAATTCTGGATGTTCATTTCGAATAACTTTAAACGATTTACCCGAAATGGCAAAATGAAATAATGAATGATGATCAAGTTCAATTACTTTATGAGACTAAAATAAAAAAATATAATACTCTAATATTGAAACAATTAAATATAATATAAATCAATATCTATACATACATTTATATCGTATTGAACTTCTTTAACATGTTTATTATAAATTTGTGCGTAGGAAAATGTTGGCACTTGTCCATCTGTTTCAGCTTCAATAACAATTACTTTTTCATCGTCTCCAATCATATTACAATCGCGTGCAACACTCAATGCTGTTAGAAGATTATCACCTAAAAATATCAACGATAAATAAAATAAATTAAAAATCTATTATCTTTTTAAAAATAATTTACCAGTACACATTACGGTACGAATTTTAGCATCTTTTAATATTTTTAATGCACCTTCAGTTTGTGGTTTTAATCGATTTTCCATAATAACTAATCCAAGAAAAATAAGATCAATTTCAACCTTTTCTCTACAAACCAACAAAAAAATAACAACAACAAAACTACAATCACGTATACTTTATATTATAAAACCATTTTACCTTTCTATACGCTGTATTTTAACATAATTTAAATCAATTGGTTTATATGCTAAGGCTAGGACACGATAACCTTGTTTAGCAAAGGATGATAAAACCGTATTAAAATTTTTTGGAACTAAAATAATGGAGAAAAAAAATGCTAAATAATTGTGTCTATCTATTTATACACTATTATATACATACTCGTTTCTGGTAGAGATAATTCGGCAATTTTTTCTGGACTACCTTTGATTAATAAATCAAATGAATCTTTTGATAATAGACGAACAATAACACTTGAGCGTTGTAAACTTGAATTAAATGGAAATTGACGAACTATACCAACTTCAAATGGAATGTTCTACATATTCATATAAAAACAAAACAAATATATATAATGATTTATAAATTTGATAACTAGATACATACGCCAGCAATTAGATTGCTAACAGAACCCGATAATGGTTGTTGTGATGTATTGATATTTGTCGTATTTATTGGTCTAACTATTGTTGGATAGAGAATATCGAAATTGGATTGTTCAGTTGAAGCCGGTTCATACATTTCAAATTGAGTAAATGCTAACATTTTTAAATCTAGTGGATCACCAGCTAATTCACCGTTTATCCTTGTAAGTGTATGACAAGCTGAAATCAAACAATTTCTATAATCTATCTTTAATTCATAGAAATAAATAATAAAATTTACCTGCCATACAAATAATCATCATTGTATCTTTTTCTTGTTCAAAACAATCGAAAGCATTAATATTCGTTATTTCCTTTGCAAATTGTATTCGACTACTAAAAAAATCAAATATCGATTAAAAATTCAAATTAATACGAATATTTTTGTTTACCTACTCAGAATCTTGTACAACTGGTAGTACACATTTTAAATCGAGACCATCTTCTGTTAATGTTCCTAAATATGGAGACATACTCAATTGTTAAATAAATCTTATATTAATTTATAGTGTATAAAATCTAGAAATACCAGTCTAAAATATAAACAAAATAAAATGAAATATAATACACTCATTGTTGATATACACATACTTTATCAAAAACAACCATGTTAATTGAGCCACTTATATTAATTGTACTTGGACTAATACAAAAAATATTTAATTTTTTTAAACGATTTTGAGCATAGACCAATCCGGCTGATAATGCTGCTGGCAAAGCAGGTGGTACAGCAATTGTTATAATATCAATAGTGCGTTTTATTATTTGAGATGCTGGCTCTTTACGAATAACCTAAATGAAAAAAAATAATAAGACTATTTTTATATGACAATGGTTAAAATAAAAAAAGTGAGTACATACACGCATAACGAACGAAAATATCATTCCAACAAGTGCGATCAATGCCATTCCTCCAACATACTTGTAGGTATCACTAAAATATCACAAAATATTCGTTATAATTCTCTATAATCTAATACATTGAATAACATACGTATTAAATTTAAAATCAACCGGTTTAGGATAAAGTATAGATCGAACGAGTTCACCTTTTGCTGTATTAAATGCTAGAGTAATACATAGATTTTTATATAATAGTAGTAGTATTCAAGATGACATGTTACCTGTACGAATAACAATAGCTCTCACCGCTCCTCCTTCATAGTAGCGTGTTTGAATAACTTTTGTACCGCTGAATAAAATAAATCGACTATGATCTCGAATATCAAATGTGTTCTGTAATCCCGAATGATCTGTGGATGATTGATAATAGGGAATTGCAACTTTTGTCACCGGAATACTTTCACCTAAATAAGTCATTCTTCTCTAATTTATTAAAGAAAGATAAATCAAGACGCACCAGTCTAAAATGACAATCAAATAGCAGAAAACATACATAAATAGATCTAAGATAAATCATACCAACATGCTTTCATCAACAATAACATTTCCGTTCAATAATGCGGCATCACATTGCATAATTGTTGAACCTTTCACAATAATGATATCTCCCGGTACCAACTCTTCGCTAGTTGTTTCGCTTTCTTCTTCTATAAAATAAAAAATATATATATATTTAAATATTGTTTGTTTCTTTATTTCTTATAAAACTATATCTAATAACCTGTATTCGTCTCTGGATAACGAGTAATTACTTGCGTTAATTCTGACTGATGAACAGTGTTACGAAGAGCTCTTTCATTCTGAAAGAAGCATAGATAGGATATATAAATGGAAATATGAAATTTGATTCTATACTTTTCTTATTTCTCTAAGTGTATAAATAATCGATACTAATGATATAAATACAATACAACTAGCATAATAATAATATTCATCGGAATACCACACTATACATGAAAACACTTGAAATATATAAAATGGTGACAAAACCTTAAAAAAATAAAATTATTAAACAAAATGAAATACAACTAGACTCGATTATCCTGGAACCTCTTTGACGATCAGTTGAAGTAAAGGAGTTAAATGAAGACTAATCGAATTTTCACCATACAGTTTCTTTCTGAAAACATATAAAATACAATAATAAAATAATTTTAATTTATTTTAGAATATAATCAAAAATACCGTAGATTTTTTTCTTCATTGGTAAGCGGAGAACATTCTTGAAAATATTCACATTTATGATTATGCTCAATACCTCTGAAATGGTAAAAATTAGTTTAATATAACAAACAAACAAATAATCAATGAAAATCTTACAATAATTTTTCAAATTTATATTCACGATCTTTCCAAATGTAACGCCATCGTTTATTGATAAAATATCGTCGTACAACAACATTCTAGAGAATAATAGAAAACAAAACCAATCAATGATATCTGTCACTATTAGCATGTTTTCAGTCTCTTATTATTATTATTATTATTATTATCATTATTATTATTATTATTATTATTATTATTATTATTATTATTATTATTATTATTATTATCATTATTATTATTATTATTATCATAATCATGCTAACGGTTTAACCATCACCATACAAGAATTCAATACAAGAATACAAACAATCACGTTGAAAATCTCTTCCTACTTCTTTTAATCGACAAGAGTTCATCCACCATCATAAATGGCATATTATCAAAAAGAAATATTATCATTCTCACTCTCTACACCAAGAAAGATGTCATGGTCAATAAATAATAGAAGAATGATGATGGCAAAACTTCTTCTCAGTGTACTACCCAGGACTTTCACGAGAATAATAGAATAAAGAAAATTCTATAAAAAAAATCTATTTTTATGTGAGCAATGTGTAAATGAATGTGAAAAATGAAGTAAATATAATTTTGGCATTCGAAATCTATTCTCATTATTTCTTTGAAATGATATCTAATGTTAATGCAATAAATAAGCATTACGCTATTAATTTGTTAATAAACTTTGTAATTATTCAAATTTTACGCAAATGTTTGATATCCATATAGATATTAACATTTTGTTCTTTAATAAATATTCCTGGTACCATTCAAGCCATAAATATTAACCTGTTTTATGACGAAAACATTCACCCTAATCATTTTTATACACAAATAATGTGTTTAGTTTGAAATTACTGTTATCTGATTCGATTATTTTCTATTCGATAACCAAGATTATGAAATCAATTCATTGCTCTGTGGCACCAGGAACATGTATCTTTACTAAATCTTACATATTCATTATCTTTAATTTTTTATCTGATAATAATTTTGTATGCGTTTTTATACAAGTTGGAAAATAATTAGAAAATACCATTGATACTGGATTGTTACTTATCCACATTTTATTTTACAAATTTACAATATCTAAACAGTAATAATGCTCTTGATACACAAAAGTTACGCAAAATAATATTAAAGATGAATAACACGTGAAAACTCGATTGAATTTTACGAGTATGGTGAACATATTTTCAGTTTTTATAAAAAGATCAAAGAATCATGGCTACGGATATTTTGTGAAAGGAAACAGATAAAGGCTTCTTACATACTAATTTATCTGTCTGAATTAAGAATACACTTCTTCTTTTTTTTACCTTGTTGACGAGAGTGAGAAGTCCAGTTGAGCCTAAACTTTTATCACAGATGTTTCAGACCCTATCTCAGATTCTAACGCTTTTCAAAAAAGAAATAGGCTTTCCTTTATAAAATATTTCACAAATAGTGAAAGAAAAAAGATTGAAATTTTCAGATTTTCACAATTTTTCGACTATTTCGAGAAGGAAAACGTATTTTTTCAAAAAATTAGTAATCGGACGTAGGATCTGAAATATCTGCTGTAAACATTTGGACTCAGTCAGATCTCTATTTCCACCTTTGCTAACAGACTGAGAAAAGAGGAGGCGTATCCTAAAAGATATCTTATATAAAAGCACGCAATTTGAGCTCACTATGTAAAAATATACTGCACAGCATCTTGTGACAATATTCGTTCTTTAAAAAAACTGAAAACCGAAATATCGAGGAAACAAGCATTTAACCAAACTGATTAGATATTTGTGGTTCTATTGAGTTTTTTTGCTCTAATCGTTTAGAAAGATTTTTAATATCACAGATATGAAAAGTAATTGGCGATTCTTTAGAGCAGTTTTTGTAGAACCATACAATCAAATAGAGATAGACTAAAGTTTTTTTGCCTTCTATCAATCAAAGTAAGTGACTTTATGTACTCGAAAAACTTCAGCATGACAAGATTGATTCCAAATGAGTTTTGAATATTTGTTTCATGAACTAAAATCGCTTATTTTCTTAAAATCTCAGCTTATTTTTTTAGAGACCGAACATTATCATAAGATACGCGGCACAGTATGTTTTAACGAAGTTCAAATTGCGCGGTTGTGTACAATTGTACAGAATCTTAAGATACTCCAAACTATTAATCCACGTTGGCAGACAGATAGATTAGTATGTAAGCTCATGGTCAAGCTTTTTGATGTACCATTTTTAGGAAAAATCTTGAGCCTCATTTTTCCATTGAATTCTGAATCAAACTGTTACTTACAAAATGGCAAGAACTATAGGTATTCATCTGTTTCCTTTCAAAAGATATCCATGACCATTCTCTTGTTTCTTTCAAAAATAATAGTTGTTGAATTAGAGCTGTGTGTTTGCAATGTGTATCTATGTAATGTGTTTGCTGGCAATGTGTATAAATAATCGTTCACAAGAGTGACTTAAAAACGAAAAGTACATACACAAAAACACGATTACAAAGCAGAATACAAAAACTATCAAAGCGGTTAACATGTATATAGTGGTTAAGCACAAAGTGTCTCAGCTCATAAGCTGAATAAAACAGATTTTCGGATTGTTTTCATGAAAAATAAAGTATACTGATTTCAGTTGAGAGCTATGGTACATTTTTTTATGCATCAATCATAGTGAAAGATTAGTTCATACTTATATACTTTAACTCTCTTTTTTGATCAATGTCAAAAAACGTATATAGATTAGAAATGCATCATGTTAGATGGAAAAAACAAACACGCAGTACTCATATTGGTTAAGTTTTTATTATTATTTCTATATTGAAAGCATAAAAAAATACCCCTTGGATTTCATTGCTATTCACAAGTAATGTTAGGCTTTCACTTCGCTTAAATATTTTGTTCCATAATGATAACTACAATAATAATTAATACGAATTTACAGTGAAGACTGTTTTATGATAAACTTATAATTCGATAATTTCTTTAGCTAGTTCACCGTAAAAACTTGAGCTACTATAAATCAGCGGTTATCTGTTAGCCTTTACCGGCAATCATCTTTCCAAATAGAGGTCATGTTTACAACAAACGTTTTAATGAATTTTTTAATGAAAATTACAATACTAAAAGTTCATCATTTTGAGATATTTAAGTCTTACGAAAAGTCTCAAAACAAGTACATCCTTACCTTTTACTAATATTGTATAAAAGCAGATTGACCCGGTAACTGGATGACGTGTCTGTAGCAGGATTAGTGATTGATAGTAGAATAAAGGTTGACTTTAAAATTCTTCTAATGATAGTCATAGAAGGGGTTCACTACACAGGAGTCTCAATACTAAGACTACATTAACCGAGAAATTAACTTTTTATAGTTTCACCATTAAATTCCTTGTCGAGAACTACCCATATGATTTGATTTTAATAACCTTTTGAGCTGTTTTAATAGAAAAATGCTACTTTAACCGTGACCCTGAGACGTGGTTTCTGCAACTGAACCCCTTCGCTATTCTAGAAGAACGCGAAAATCTGGCTGTTGTGTTAGTAAAACTATTGTATTTCAATAATGTGATAGGAAACCATACGGAATTTTCCAAAATGATGCAAATCGCTAAAATTGATAATTTTAGATCAACCTGTACCGTAAATGAAAATACTATTGGTGGTTGCAAATATCATAGAAACAATTCATGATACAATCTTTCCAAAAATATGATTGAAAGTCTTGGATTTAGTTTAGTTTCAATAGAAGGTGGACAAATTGATTAGATTTTGCCATCCAGTGTGCCGTTAACTGTAAATGAACGCGTGCCCCGAGCGCGGAGTTGCATCAGTCTAGTACTTATGATCATGATCCAGACACTATCTTGCGTTAAACAGATCGTGTCATTCGATGTCTCTCAGTAAAACCATCAGAAATTATCGCTAGTGGATTTCTGGTTGCTACGCTTTAAAGCCTTGCAAGGTGCCGATTTTTCAAGATTATAGATATTACCTTTTTTAAATAGCAACGATTTAACTTTTAGTGTTGTAATTTTCATTAAAAAATTCATTAAAGCGTTTGCTGTAAACATAACCTCTCTTTTAAAAGATAGTCGATTGAACAACAGTATAGAGTAATAGATGGTGTCCGTTGAGCAAATAGCTCAAATCAAATTTCAAAGGAACTATAATATTCTCATGGTATCTGTGAACTGCAGCGCTTACACGTATCGTTCTCTTCTTTGCTCTGTTGTACGGATGACGCTTCATCTGTTCAATTTATACCTGAGCAATATTTGTAATGAACACAACTGGGATTCAAAACATCTTACGATGATTGATAAGAATCACTTTATGTTTACATTCTAAACAACTTCAAGACGTTTGCATGTGTCATATGTAGTCAATATCAACAGATCTTAATACAAATATACATTCAAAACAGTCGAATAAGGTGTTGGCGTGTTTAACAACCTTTCGATTTCTGAAGAAAAATGTTAAAATTTACGCAATAGAAAACGGTGCATTACTAATGTCAATGAAGGAAAGGTCAGAGTGGTAACTAATAGATTGATATGTAGTTGAGTAGTACAACACGGAACGTCTATTACTATTGCAACTTCAAGCTAATGTACACTGTAAAAAAAACACGACTTATTTTAAACGTTATGAGGGAAGACGACAAATGTCTCACTCTTTACAACACTTTTCGAACGTCTTATTTTCCACTTTGTTTTGCCGGATAATTCGGTGTATATAACGTCATCTTAATCTAAAATACACGATGGACCCAACTAACAATTGATTATATGTAATCAGAGGTGCTGATTTCCAATATGATAATGGTCTGAGCCCTTATCAATTTTTTTGGTCCGAAAACTCAAAAGGGTGATCTGAATTTCTGAAGCTCAAAAACTCTTTTTCGTTGAAATCGATATCTGAATGAGCCAAAACGTAGAGCATGTCAAACCGCATATGTCCATGACTTTTAAGCTTTCGCGGACACGTTTTACAGGCGTTAGAATTCCTTTAAAAATTTAACACTTTACTACTTAGGGTCATTATCAGTTGAAATTCAAAACTTCAGAACTCTGGTAAACGAACTTGAGAAAGCTAAAAAATCGTTGACATGTACAGTCTGATATGCCTTAGACGGCACACTTCAAACGGTTTCAAAAAATATGTTAGGTTCTCTTATTTCCGAAAAACCAAGGTTTTCTAGAAAACTCAATAAGGCCCCAAATGACTATAATATTCAGAATCAGTACCGTCGCTAACCTATACTCAACTATCTTTCGGGAAATGGAATTGGGCATCTGGAGAGGTTCTCTTGTAAGCTGATTGACTCGTATCTCACGAGCCAAGCGACACGTGTGCGAGAGAGAGTGATTAACGACTCGAATCTCAAAATAATTCTATTCACTACAAACTATCTGAATATCTATATGATAATGATTTTTATGAGTATCGTGAATCCGACTTTTTTCAAAAAAACGCCTTAGAAATGTCTTCACAAACAAACTATGGCTTCAAATAAGTTTTTCGACGAAGACACAGAATAAGTCGCTTTTTTCACAGTGTATACTCTTAACTAGATGAGATAAAATTAAGCAATAAACTTTGATAGCATGCATATAATTGAAGGCGACACAAAAACGAACACTGCGGATTCGTCACTATATCATCTCACCATAAAAGCATACATGCATACATTCTGTCATATATGCAATGGCTAAGAATTGAAAACATAGTACTTTACCTGCGTCAATAGTAACGGTTCCTCTGAAGACTAAAAAGGGTTACCAATACACTCTATTCGAAAGAATACAATCCTATTATAAGATGGAACATTTTTACAGAATATGTATAGTATCGATGGCAAACGGTAAATAATTGAAGTCGATTTTGCTAATGGTTACAAGTTTTTGTTAAAAAGTTGTACAATCAACCATTCAGAAAGGAACAACAATGTTTGCTTGAAAAGAGAGGAACATAACTTACTTCAACAGGTTGTTGTGTATCAGAGATACTTTCATATCTGACTCGAACTGGTAATCTAAATAAGGAATTTTCCCGAGTTTCAAATATTTTTATAACATATATGTTTGAATTACTTTGGAGAATTTGCTGGGTAATCACTATCAATTATAAGTACATTTTCAACGTACCATTGTTTGTAACGATCCTTAAAAGAGCATGATTATAGAAATAAAAATCTCATGGACTTCAATCGCTTATTTGCCAAGCAATTCATCACCTGGAGTAAAACAAATGTTGCCCGGCCAAGATCGGCTTTTGTACATTCACACCACAATTTCCAATCGGGTTTCCAATAGAATACCAAACGAAGAAAACCCGCTGACAGAATACTCAATATCCATGTGAAAATTGTTCTATGTGATGAACGTACGTAACCGTAAAGTACCTAGAATGATCAAAAAACATATCCTATTCTTTTTATCAAAATGGAAACGTAGATGTCATTGGAATTGTATAAGTATGAAATTGTCGAAACAGATATTATAAAAAATTCTATAACATGTTTATTGCGCACGCTCGGTTATATATAAACAAGCAAATTAAAATCAGAATTTAAAAATAAAAAACAACTCTGGTTAACGTACTAATTGCTCATCCGTTCCCTCATTGAGCGTCTGATAACATTTGCCATTTTGTAGCATCCGTTTTTCAAATTATTAACCGTAAATCTAGAAATAAAGTTTACTCTTTTTTGAAAATGAGAACAAGTACGCATGGAATGAGCTAGGACGTACTACTCGGATAAAAGAGACAGTAAAACAAGCCTAACAGTTCAAAAGATTCGATTGTTAAGCAAAAAAAACTAAAAAAATATCGCAACAAATCGAATAAATTCCACTCAGAGCTTTTCAATATTCAGTAGAAATCGGTACATGTAATAAAACTGCTATCCATTTCAAAATATAATGTACTCAGTCTGAATAACTTTTGATAGAAAAGAGTTAGAGATTCTCAAATTTCGCTGTTTTTTTAGAGATAGACATGAAAATGTGGGAGAATTAAGTACGAACGGAAGTATAATTATCCATTATTATGAATTTATCTTTAAAAAGTAGGAAGGTTAAAAAAATATGCAGCGATTTTGTCTGAGTGATTTAGGAGCTTTTCATTATGCAATGCATACAACTTAAAATCGCTTCTCTCATCACCCCTAGTGTAGCAGTACACTAGCTATTTCGATTGTCGGGCGAAAACTAACAAGATTCATAAGAGTCGATAATTTAACTTCCGTTCGCACTTAATTTTTCCACATTTTCATGTCTATCTCTAAAAAAACAGCGAAATTTGAAGATCTCTAACTCTTTTCTATCGAAAGTTATTTAGACTACCGTAGAGTACATTACATTTTGAAATGGATAGTAGACGGTTGTATCGAATGAATTCTACACCATACCATTCAAAGCTACTGGTAAGGTATGGAAAACGGCTGTCTTTGATACCTGAAGGAAATCAAAAGCTAATTGTTTTTTTCGTACAACCATTCTACTGTTTGTCTCTTAAAGCGTCATCGCACGTTGAAATGAGTTCAAAGAAGTCCATGGTCGCAAAATTAATTTTTGCCCGTAAAAAGAACGAATGTTTTTGGCCGAATATTGAATTTTTGGAAACGATAATATTTATGTCCATTTTCACGTATATTCCAAATATTCCATTACTTTGTCGTCACAAGTTGTTTGCCTGATGAAATTCAACAAGTAATGATAAAATCTGCTCTTTATGAAAAAAAGTGCAAGGTAGAACGTATTCTTTGTGTATACCCAATTCTAGAACCTCAAAACAAAGGAAAATGGTTCTGTCCTGCACCTTTTTCATAGGGTAGTCTATGTGCTTTCGAAAATTTTTTTTCCGAGAGTTAGGTGCGTGCCAAATAGGTCAGAAATCTTCGAACAAAATTTCAAGAAACCAAGTAGGAAAATATGAACTAGATACCCTTTTGATACGTGTTCCATCGAACAAAATCAGTTTCATCGTAGTAAAAGCTTGACACCATTCCTCGTTTCTAAAATCTTTTATAGATTTTTATCACTTTTCTAAAATTCGTTGGAGCTGCATCTGAATATAAAACATAATTAAGCTTAGGTTAAACTTTTAAATACGACTGATATATCATTATTGACGAGTGATATATCATTAAAATTCGGCATTGCACTATACTCTCGCTCAGCTGGTTTTTATTTTTATTTTTTTTTAATGAACCACAGCTGTTAGTGTCGTTTTTTTAGGTCATTTAATTCTTCAGTCATTCACCTACTCAAGTCTGCGCATGAGTATCGCCAGCTATAGAATAAATTTATCTTTTTCATTTTTCTTATTGTTCTGATCTTAAGTTCCAAACATTAATGTTATTCACATCTCTGCTTTCACAATTAGTTAATCTAACCTTAATTTGTATTTATCATCTGTTTTACACTAAAAAATAGTGCTTCTGAATACTAACGTGTTCTGGTTACTTCGAAAATATCAAAATTTTCTTTTAAGTGTAAAAGCTCAAACTTACTCTACACAATAAAGTATAAACACGCTCAAGAATGTTGCTTACAAACAGGTTTTAAAACACGTATTTTTAATTTATATCTTTATTATTGCTAAAAAACCATGAGCCATAAATACCAGTAAGTTAGAAACATCTGGTTTATGGTCGATATTTTCTCATGCAGACCTTATTTTATCTATACAGAATAGAAATAGTATACGAGCCAAAGGTGTGTCAAACCTGATGATAGTAACCTTCTTTAAGAAGGTAAAAACTGACAGATAATAGATAATGACAAAAAAAAAATTCGACAAGTACAAATTGACAAAAGCAAAATAATATATTGTCTCGAGTATTTTGATTTTCTAAGGTGATACTATAAAATACAACACGTGTTTCCATATTTCTGATCAATTCTTCTATAAAAATAAAAATTTACTCTGGGATAGAGCAGACTTTTTCAACGATAGACGAAGTAACAACTTTCTCACATTCACATTTTTTTGTATTGAATAAAGGATGGCTAACTGTACTTGTATTCTTACTTTTCGTACTTTTTAGGTATAAGGTAGTAATACGTTAAACTTGAGATCAGTACTTGTACCTCTTACTTGTACTTTGTACCTGTACTTTGAGTATATCTGAAGTACTCCAGAGACTTTTATTTCCTTTCACAGCTAGTTTTATTATTTCTATATGTAGTTCAACGATGAGCTAATATCTACTTCTCGTTGTCTTGCTGCGATTTGTTGCTACATGTTGTTAAAGAAGTATTTGTTCAGAAGTTTGTTTCTTTTTACGAGCAAATCAGCATATCTTATAGAGCACATATTTATTATACTTGCGTCTGGTATGCTTCCATCATATTCTATCATTATCACATGTCTTTTTTTACTGTTTATTTCTCTTATTATGCATGTTTATTATGTAGTTTTTTATTACTTATTTCACATGTAGGAATCTTGAGGTTTGATAAAAGATATACAATTCTACTTATTAGAAAAATTCAACAATAATTCAAAATTGTATAATAATTGCAGCTAATTTTAATGATTTAAGCATTTCTTTGTGATATTTCGATTATTCTCAAATTGTATTATTACCACAATGACAGCAGATAC